ACGCGCCACGTCATGCGCGGTGGCACGACCCGGTCCTCGTTCGCACGAGGCTCGCTCCGCAGCCGGAGCCCCTGCTGCGCGACGTCGACGGTGGCGTGAAGCGGACACCGGACGGGGGCGGGTCGGGCGGTGCCCTCTCTCGAAGCGCTCGGGCCGGGCGCGAATGGATGGGGGGGCGATACAGTGGGGCCTTATTGAACAGGACGCGCGAGAGGACACGAGACCCTTCCGAGGGCCACATTGCCATAGGAATGTGGGGGGCATGGGTCGCGAGGCATAAGACACAAGGGTTCCCTTGAATTGGCAGGGTCGACCTACTAATCAGGGCCGACTGTAAATGTGAGGGGGGAAGGAAGGTGCACTTCTCGGGCTCCAGAGCCCCCCCTCCTGGACCCCAGGGGGCCCCTTCAGGGGCCCCAGCGGGCCCCTTCCTGCAGCCCTCGCTGCCCCCCTATACAGAGGAGCACGACCACAGGAAATCTTCCACAAGAAACCCAACCCTGAGACCCCAGGACGTCCATGGATTTTTGGTGTGGGAACGTCACGCGCTCCACTGCAAAGCCATCGAAACCCAAGAAACCCTGGGCACCCTGGAGGCAAGCAAGGTGTTTCTTGGCATGGGCTTCCACTGTAAGGGGGAGGGGGGAAGGCTTCTCAGGAGGAGACCGCTTCTCAGAAGGAGCTGGCCTTGCACTGGCAGACAAGGCCAGCGCCCACTAAGCAGCAGGGGCGCTTCCCAGAAGCCTTCCCTCCTTCCCCTGCCCCTAGAGATCGGGGCGTCCTCCGAAACCCAGGGCACCCTGGAGGCGAGCAGGGTGTTTCTCGGCATGGGTTTCCACTGTAGATCGCCCCCCCCCCCATTGCGCGCCCCCCGCTCGGGGCGAAGAGCGCACCGCTCGGGCGGCCGCGTCGCACCCCGACGGGGGGCCGCGCTCCTCGGCGGGCGGGGAGCGCCCGCGGGCACACCGGGCAACGCCCCGGGGAGCGTTTGTGTGGACACCTGGGAGCACCCGGGGCTGAACCTGCCTAAACGGTGTTTTTCGTGTTCGTGTGGTTCTCGTTCTCCCTCGTGGCGTCTCCAATCCGCCCTGTGGGCACCTGGGGGCACCCATTACCAGCCTGGAGCATATCCCTATCCCTAAGCTGGGCACCGCCTCATCACAATGCCAATCTTGGGCATTCCCTCAGTTTTTCAGCGCGCATCCCTAAGATTGTCATCGCCTTTTGGCGTGTCAATCTTAGGGATAGGGATAAGTTCGAGGCTGGAGCACCCAGGGCTGAACCCAAAAACGGTGTTTTTCGTTTTCGTTTTGTTCTCGTCCTCCCTCGTGGCGTCTCCAATCCGCCTCTCCCGCAGAACGAGATCGAACCGAAAACGGCCCACGAAATCGCCAAAATAGCGTTTAGGTCCAGCCCTGGGACCACCGTCGGACCTAGGAGAGAAGATCCCCGGGGAGCGCCCGGAGACAGAAGTGTCGGCCCCCTCTTCTCTTGTGGGAGACGATCAATGGAGAGGAAGCATGTTGCCGAATCAATTCCAGATGCCTAGAAATGTTTTTCAACATGTAAGAAACATGTTTCAAACACGTTTGAACATTTCTCAAACATGTTAAGCACGTGTTTAACTCAATGCTAACATTGTTAGGGTGTTCATTGCCATGACATTCATAACTCTTCTCCTCCCGCTCCTCTCTCCTCCCTCACCCTGCACAGGGAGCCTCCAGCGCAAGCAGCGCGCGCGTCAGCGCACTGCTGGCCTGCGAGCGCCGCTGCAGGCTCTCGCCGCTGCTCAGGAGCTCCTCGGCTGACGGGACGACGCGAGGAACGGGAGGTTGGAGTGGAGAGGGGGAGGAGGTTTCAGGAGGAGCCCCCCCCCCCGACGTGCCCTCCCTCCCCCTCCACGCACCATTAGGTCGGGCCTGCCCCCCTGCAGGGGGATTTTGGGCGACTGTTGAACATCCCGCCCTGTAGAGGGGCAGGCCCGCCTTAGAGCTGCCAGGGAACTCGGACCCTCAGAGACGACGGGCGAGCGGAGGCGGGCCCCCCTGCCAGGGCCCGCACGATGCCCAGGCCGCCGCACCACGCCCCCCCAGGATGGCGGTGCCGCCCCGCAGCCCCGTGTCCTCCTGCAGGATCTCCCCAGGGCCTCCACGAGCATCGCTCAACCCAGACCCCCCGCGAGTCCTGAGAACTTCGCGACGCGAGGTGTTTCGCGTCGAGATGGTTTCACGACGCGGGGTGTTTCGCTCCTCAGGATCTCCCCAGGGGCAAAATCGGGCATGTCCTCCTACAGGGGGATTTTTGGACGAAAGATGAATAATAGTCAAACATACCCAAAATGGCCAACTTATATATATATATATAAATATATATATATATATATATATATATATATATCCCATGGGCGAAACATATTAAATATAACAATTAAACATGCCTATATGTAAACATGGTAATATGAACATGGAGATATATACACAACAACAAAAATACAAACCAAAACACACACACACACACACACACACACACACGACAAAAAAAAGTAAAACAAGAGACACAAAAAAACAACAAACCAACAAAAAACACGGGCCCAGACATGTGTTACTATATTTGGACATCCCCCTTGCAGAGGGACAGGCCCGACTTAACCCCAGGGCCTCCATGAGCATCGCTTAACCGATCCTTATCCCCACGGGCGTGGCCTGGGCCCCACTGGCCGATCTGCCTGCCCACCCGGACGGGGATGTCGGCTGCACTCTTCGGGTTCCGGGGGGCACACATCCCCGACTGAGGTGGTGAGACAGTGGGGCTCGAGATGTGGATGGGGATGGGGATGGGGATCGGTTAAACGATACTGACCCCTTGCTCCTCCGGATCTCCCCAAGGCCTCCATGCGAGGAGGGAGGAGGAGGAGGAGGAGGAGGAGGAGGAGGAGGAGGAGGAGGAAGAGAAGGAGGAGGAGGAGGAGAAGGAGGAGGAGGAGGGAGGAGGGAGGGAGGAGGGAGGAGGGAGGAAGGGCCCAGAGTCCCGCCAGCCCCCCCTGGGCGGAGGGGGCCGCCGCCCGTCCCTCCTCAGGGCATTTCCCTGGGGCCCCCAGCGGGGCCCGGGGGCCCCCACGGCAGCCCTCTGGGCGGGGGCGGTGCAGGGAGCCCGCGCTGCAAACCTTCGGGTCGGGCATGCCCCCCCGCCAGGCAGAGCTTGGAGGAAAAATGAATCACAGCCCAAAAGGATACCCAAAAGTTGCCAGAAATACCCGAAACATCGTCCTCGCACGACGTTTGGCCTCCAAGAAAATACCCGAAACATCATCGCCTCCAAGAGGGCCCCAGATAGGCCAAGATGGCCTCGGATATGTTCGCTCAGGATGGCCCAAGATAGTTTTTACAACACCCCCCGAAGAGACCCCAAGACGGTTCCAAGTGCCCTCAGAACCTCCCAAGAACGCCCCCGAATCCCAGACCCTTCCGACACCAAGGAAAAACTACTGGTTTGCATTCTCGCAGTTTTCTCTTCCGATCGGCTTGGGAGGCCGCATGGTAGCTCAAAGATAGACCAACAGGGTACTAGGAAGGGCCAAGAAGGCTCCAAGACGGCCCTAAGAGAAGACGTCGAGGGCCCCGACAGGGGGGCGCGAATTCAGCCCCCCGTCCTTGATCGAAGGCCTCCAAGATGGCCCCCAGAGGGCCCCAAAGAGGGCCCCCAAGGCTTCTCAGTGAGCTCAGGAACGCCTTGAGAGGGCCCCAAGAGCGCCTAGAGGATCCCATGTTGTTCCACAGCGTGCTCCCACACTTCCCTGATCAATGCAATTTACCTGACTATACTTGGTGGATGGGGTGTTAGGGGCACTTTTTTGATCGCAAGCACACCGGGAGACGCCAGACGCCGTCAAAGAGTCGCAGGAAGCGGGCTACGAGCAAATTGTGCACCAGGGGGGAGGCGAGGCGACGAGAAGACAACGGAGGGAGGATCGAACAGGAGGCGGGCCTCGCTGCCGCTCAGAAGAGGGCGCCGTCGACGGGGGGAGCCGCCAGGCGGAGTGCAGCGCCAAAATGGCGGGGAAGCTGTTAGGGGCACGCGAAGCGTCAAGAATTCACACAGCCTCTCGAAATGTCCTTCAAGACCTAGTTACGTGTTCCACGTGCGGGATGGTGGCAGTTCACTGCGACTTGACTTTCGTGCATCGCCAGACGGCTGGCGCGATGGACTGTATCATATCACTCTCGCTGCGAAGTTTAGACGGGCAGCTCGCGTCAGATCAGAACGTAGATGGCAGATGAGGGCGGGGGGCGCAGGACGCGCGGAGCCAGAACGCTCACTGGGACTCCAGACATTGAAATTGTCAATTCCCAGCTGGTCTCTGAACCAACGGCATGCGGGAGGCACGGGCGTAGCCCGTCTCTAAAACGCATTGAGAGAGCACAAGGATTTATGTACCGAAGGAGACCATTCCTAGTGGATCCGCCACCGTGCCGCTGGGCACGGAGTGGGCGTGTCCTCAGGTCATTTGCCTGATCCCCCGAGCCTCAGTCCTCAGTCCTGAGGGGTCTCTTAGGGGCCCGGGCCCCAAATTCTCAAATCTCCCAGGGCTTGGCACAGTTTCCCGAGGCACCGTCGCGGTTTCCCGAACGAATTTTGAGGGCCAAGAGTGCCCGAAGACGGGCCAAGAGGGCCCCAAGAGTCCCCGACGACAGTCCAAGAGGGCCTCGAATCGCCCAACGATCGCTCCAAGACGTCCAAGATGGCCTCAAGACAGCCCCAGAAGGCTCCAAAGCGCCCCAAGAGGCCTCCGAAGAGGGCCCCAACAGGCAAGAAGTGTGTGATGTTCCTTTGGTTCTTGAAGGATGTTGGCGTTCTCGCCTGTTCGGCTTCTCAACGCTCAAAGACGGCCCACGAGGCCCCCAAGATCCCACAAGACTGCCCCAGAGGCCCCCAAGAGGGCCGCTAAAACGGCCAGGATGGCCCCATGACGGCCCAAGAGGCGCCCAAGACAGCTCAAGAGAGCCTAAAGACGGCCCCAAGAGGGGGCCCAGATGAGGAACCCGAACGGACATTTCGAGACCTCGGCCCCCAGGAGGCCCCAAGAGGCCCCCGACCCCAAGAGGCCCCAAGATGCCCCCAAGAGACTCCCAAGAGGCCCCCGAGAGCGCTCCATAGAGGCCCGAAGAAGCCCAGGCACGGTGGCGGGACGGGGCGAAGGCCGTCAGATCCGCGCCCCTTGCCACAGGGGTGCCTGGCGTGCTAAATCCTATACGGCTTGGTTGTGGTTCGTTTTCTGAAGAAAGAAACCAAAACAAAAAAAAAAAAAAAAAAAACTCCTGAGGCTTCGGCAGCGCGCCGGCCACCCAGGAAGGTTCCCAAATTTCGTCTCCCGCTGCCCAGATCGCCTGTAAGACTGCCAAGATGGTCCAGGATGGCCTCCAAAATGCCGCAAAGACCCCTCCAAGACTGCCAAGCTGGCCCCAAGAGATCCTAACATGGCCCCAAGATACACTCAAGACGGCCCAAGATGCACCCAAGATGGCTTCAGAATGGCCCAAGACGGCCCAAGAGGCCCCAACGAGGCCCCCAAGAGGCCCCCAAGAGGGCCTCCGGGCAGGCCCGAAGAGGTCAAAATCATTGATTTGCCTTAGGTTTTCGAAGGAATTTAGCATTTGCGTCTTTCCCCCTTCCGACGGCCCGAGACTGCCCAAGAGGCTCGAAAGATTGCCCCAAGACCGCACAAGAGGCCTCCAGGATAACCCCAGAACGGCCCAAGAGGCCCCCAAGACGCCCAAGATGCCCACCAAGACGGCCCTGGAGCACCCAGAGAGGGGCCCAAGAGAGGCCCGCACGACGGCTTCCGACGGCGTCAGACGGGCCAGGAACGCCCTAAGCTCCCAGGAGGCCCCAAGAGTGCCCCAGAGGCTCCCAAGATGCCTCCTCCTCCTCCTCCTCCTCCTCCTCCTCCTCCTCCTCCTCCTCCTCCTCCTCCTCCTCCTCCTCCTCCTCCTGATCTTCCCCGGCATCCTCCCCCAAGTGTTCCCCGAAGGGTTTCCACAACGGCTGGGGGAACACCTGGTTAGATAGCTCGGCAAAGCTCTTGCCACAAGGTTGGCCACACGGGCGATTCCAAAAGGTAGGAGGCGGCGGTGATTCGCCGTAGGCGTTTTCGATGGCGGAAGATCGCAGGCATCATAACCCTATGCGGGCATGATCCTATCCTGCTCAACTGAAGGGGCCCTGGGACACACAAATACATATTTTCCTATATTTTCTGGGATCGACGATTCATTGTGTCTGTGTGTTTTTTCCCCTCCTGCTCAACTCCCGCACCCGATACCCTGCACTCGGCCACTCCTCCAGTGAACCCACCGGCGCCCCCAGGTTGTCGAGGCGCTTCGCTAACGCCTGCGCAGGCGGCGGGTCCGCAACGTGGGCGAGGCCAACGATTCAGATATTGCACACGCATCCTGGGCCAGTCTGCCGTCATCATCCTACGCGTCATTGCAATCGTGACCATCACAATCAAAACATTACGAAATCCGAATCAGGATCGTCAGCGTCGTCATTATCACAATCGTTACCATCACCACCATCACCATCTCCATGGTCATGCACATTATCATCGAATTCTACCTCATCACCATCATCATCCAGATCCGCATCCGCAACCTCGTCAAACTCGTAATCAGCCATATGATCAGTATCATGTCCATCATCATTCACCATCAACATGATCATCTATATCGTCATCATCAGCAACCTCGCCATCGTCGTCGCCCTCATCCTGGCCAAAAAAACGTTGGTGTCCAACGCATTCAGGGCGCGGGTCCTTACCCTGATGAGGTTCATGCTCAAGAGCGGCGTACTGAAACATCGAGACGAGCCCGGGAGAGCAACCAAGCAGAGAGACGCATGACTTCGATGATTTGACTGGAAGAAGGGAGGGGCCTGGAGGGGGAGAGGGAGAAGACCGGACAGGGGGGTACCTAGCCATGACTCCTGCGCGACCCCAAGTAGGGGAAACCTTCCTGTTGCATGGGCCGCGGTGCTTGGCAGAGCTTGGCATTGCATGGCTCGGCACTGCTCGGCATTGCTTGACATTGCTTAGCACTGCTTGGCATTGATTGGCATTGCTTGGAACAGGCACAGTAAGAATAATTACGAGGCACCGGGACTTGGCATTGCTTGGCATTGCTTGGAATGGGCACAACAAGAGAACGAGGCAGCGGGACTTGCTCGGCATTGCTTGACATTCCTTGGCATTGCTCGGCATTGCTTGCCATTGCTTGGCATTGCTTGGCATTGCTGGGAACAGGCACCATAAAAATACGAGGAACCGGTTGCGAGGAACCCGGGCCCGCGAACCCGGGGAACCCGAAGAACCCGGGGAACCCGGGGAACCCCGGGAAACCGAGAAACACGGGGAACCCGAGGAACCTCCAGGAAACGGGCAACGTGACAATGGGAGGCACCGGGGGCGGGGAACCCGAGGAGCCCGAGGAACCTATGTGGGCAACGGGCAACGGCAGAATACGAGGCACCAACCCTTCACCAAGTAAGAACCCCTTGGGCGGGGAACAAAGAAGTTACACTGAGGGGCGTGGCAAGGATTGCAACCAGACGCCCGACGGCGCGCAGGTCCAGGGGCCTCCTGCAGAAGGAACGCCACACGTCCGACGAACCGCTCCGCTCCTCCCTCTCCCGCCCGTCGTTCCCAGGATTGAGCGGGGACCGACCGTCCCGGCATTCCTAGTCCTACCACGAAATGTTCTTAGAACCCCAAAATGTTCTAAGAACAAAAACAATGTTCTTATAACCTAAACCCCATGCGATAAACCAAGACAATCTCCGCCAGAAATGTTCTAAGAACATTTCCTGGGAACCACAAAAGGTTCATAGAACATTGTTTGGTGGGGCTACAGGCGAGCCAGGACGCTTCGCCACTGCTTGACAGGAAGCTGCCCTGGCTGCTGGCATGGCTGCCGGCGGCCTCTGGGCAGGAGGGCAGGGAATCGAGTCGATGGGTCGGATCGGCGATCGAAATGAATCGGATCGGCGAAAATCGGCAGCCGAGCCGGGAGAAGTCAAATCGGCAGGAATCGGCAGGCTAGCAAGCCTCCAATAAGAAATCGGAGACAAAGTCGGAATCCCAAGTCTGCTCGAATCGGAGTCGGAGGCCATGGGAATCGAATCGAATCGGATCGGGGGAATCGAAATGAGCCCTGTTCGGGTAGGTGCCTTGCACGATCGTGTCTGGCTGGCTGGGGACGGGCTTTTTGTTGGGGGGAAAGGAGAGGCAAACCAAGCAGAGCTTCACCCCCCAAACAGAGCAGAGCTCCTCGCCCCTCCTCCCTGCTCCCCAGTGTTTGGTCGGGCGCGTCCCCCTACAGGCGGATTTTGGACGACATATATATATATATATATATATATATATATATATGTTTGTGTGTACAAAATCGTCCCCTGACTATGGTTTGACTATGTTTGAAAATTCCTCCTGTAGAGAGGCAGGCCCGACTTAACCCCAGTGTCCACATCCTGCTCATCACCATGATCTTCCCCTCCCTCAGTCCGTCGCTCCATCGTCCCTTCCTCCGTCCCCCCTCCCTCCTCAGCGCATCCTCCACATGCTAGTATGTCTCATCCTCTTGCGCCTCATCCGCCTCCCGCTGTTTCACCACAAACCTCCCCTGATTCTTCAGCCGGGAAGCAGTTCCGTCGCCTCTGTCATCTCATCATCTCGCAAACCTTCCCCTTGCGACCACGACCCTACAGCCCAGCATACGGCCCACTGGCCGTGCCATGAACCATAGCACCTTCACCTGATATCTTCGGAACGGATAGCTGGCAGGTCCAAGGGACAGGCAGGAGCTTGTGACGTGTGGTAACGTTGGTTCCCCAGGGACGTACCCAGTCCTTTCCTAAACGCGAGGCGACTACAAGCAGCACCACTCAACACGCAATCACACCATTCCAGCGGACCTCTCGGAATCTCACGAAAGGAGGCGACAATTGCGGAGGTAGCAGCCCCGCGGGGAGCCGGACCAGACACAGTTCCACCAGACCACTAAAGACCACCGAAAGTGGCGACAGTTGCGCATGTGGCAGCCCCCCCGGGAACCGCAAGTCTTGTCTGGATGCGCGTCGGACAACACTCGCTAGACGTCCCAGAAGTTGCCAACACAAGTGGCGACAGTCGCGCAGAAAACAGTCCCCCAGGAAGCCGCACAGTCTACTCTTATCCGCGCAATGTCGCCCCGCTGGCCCACCCACGAGCCTACGAAAGTGGCGACAATTGTACAAGTGGCAGCCCCAAAAGGGAGCCGCGAGGTCCAGTCGGGACGACCGTGGACACCACTCCGCTGGACCTCCCAAGTGCCCGCGACAGTGACGACAATTGCGGAGGTGGCCGCCCCCCAGTGAGCCGCGACCTCTAGTCTGGATGTGCGTCGGACGCAACTCCGCTGACCTCCCAAGAGCCCGCGACAATGGCGACAGTTGCGCAAGCGGCAGCCCTCGGGGCGAGCGCGAAAAGACAGGAAGCACGATGCAGAGAGGCACGCGGGGGAGTCGGACGGAGGAGAAGGATAAGTTCGCGCAAGCAGCGCTCTGTTGAAAACAGGGACCTCCATCATGGGAGGGGTCGGCGTACACACATCCAGACCCTCACCGATCTTGGCGTCTGGGTGGACCTGCAGCCCCCGCCCCACCCCACTCCGCGCCCCCAGTCCCCCAGAGACCCCCCCACCACCACCCCTGCCGACGAGGCCTCGCTCTGCGCCGCCAGGTGGCCCGAGGTCCTCCCGGCGAACTCCTCGCAGAGGGCCTCGCGCACCGAAAGAGGGCCGGCGGGGCCGAGGCGCCCGCGCACCGCGCCCTCCGCCGCCCCCCCCCCCTCACCTCCCCGCCCGCCTCTGCCCCCCCCCCTTTTCCCTTCCACCCCCTTTCCTTGTCCTGCCCCTTCCTCTCTCGCCGCCCAGGGCCTCAGCGTCCGCCGCTCGCCGCGCGCGGAAGGCTGGGGGGGGGCCGCGGCCCGACGCACGGCGAGGCGCACAGCACGGCAGAGCGGCGCGGCCGCCAGACGTGGAGGGCGGGAAGGGGGACGAGCCCGGCTGCGAGGAGCGGAGTGGCGGGGCACGGGCGAGGAGCTTTCTGACGCCGCGCGAGCTTCAGGCACTGCGATGCAATGCCTGGGGCGAAGGGTTCCTCCTCAGCCAAATCAGCCAAACCAGAAGGTTCCAGAGTCCCACAGAATGCAACTAAGGACAAAAGACAAACGGATTAGGATGCTCCTGCTGCCGCTCCTCCTCCTCCTGCCCCGCCTTGCCGAACCTCTCCCTGCCCACGCTCTTGAAGAGCACGGATGTCCGGGGCGAACAAGCCGGCGCCTATCGGCGCGGGCGTTCGCACGACCTGCTGGGCGAGGGGCAGGCGGCATCGGAGAAGCGAGCGAAGCTCCTTGGATTTCTTATTGGGCTGGCACTGCTTGGCCAAACCCCACGCTTTCTCGGTGGCGTATCTACCACACTGGACAAAACAAATTACACGGTAACCATGGGGTTCTACCCAGGAAACTTGCAACTCGTGACCGAAGTGTCCTGGCTGACCAAGGACCCGAAGGACACAGGGATTTAAAGCCCTGCATTCAAATTTGGTTATTGCCGAAACCCTCCTGAGACAGCAAGCACAGCGCCATACACCTCCGATCCAGTAAGGGGTGCGCCGGTTTTTAGGAGCCCTGATCGACCGAAGACCTACACTCCCCTTACTAAGTTCAGGATACAGCTCTGAAGGGATGGGCCGTTCTGCTAGAATCAGGGCAATGGGATTACACAAAGTTTTATCATGTTTAGATGTGTGCTTTATTTCTTTAAAAGTGTGTGTGTGCGACGAACTCGCGCTTGCGAGCTCCTTGGCGCGCAAGCCAATCGGCGCCTCGATTGCCCTGTCTATCCACCATGTCAGCATCATCCTGGGCCTCCGAGTCCCCCCGATGGGCCTTCCTTCACATGTCGGAGGCCCATCCAACCTTCCGACAAGTCCACCGCAACCTTCCGAAAGAAGTGCGCATGGAGAGCGTTAGCACTGAGCGCAGCTTTCGGGTTGGAGGCTGTTTTCAACAGTGCTTCGAAATCAATGGCGATCTGGCTCGGGAAAGTGCCTTCTGCATGTATTGCAGCAACAATTAGCCCAGCGCGTTCGGCCACGCACGAGCTCTGGCCAAACAGCCCGGGAACAGGGCCATAGATACCCCGAGCCAGCCTCGCCTCATAACCGTTATAACCCAGCCCGCAGACGCCGAAACCAGCGCGGGCAAGGTCTGTCAGGCCAGGTTGGAGGCACGAACCGTCAGAGTACACAACAGCACCCTTGGAAAACTCAAACTGTGGGCATTCCTGGCATTCGCTATTCATATAATAAACTTGGCAGGGCCGGGAACTTCGAAACGGGGGAGACAGGCGCGCGCGAAGAGGCAGCTGGCGGGGCCGGCTGCAAGCGCGTCCGCGAGGATCTCTGGCGGACACACTTCCGTCCGTTTTTCTTCAGCGCGCGGGCACTCCCATATTCGATGGAAGGTGCTGTCAGGCTTACCACAGTAAACGCATTCTGGGCTGGGGCTACATCCCCAACGCCGCAGGTTGTCTGCAGCTGGGAGGGCCCCGCCAATAATTTGCTTGAGACAGACCAAGGTTCGATCTGGCAGCTGGCGCGCCTGCTTGGACCGAAATAACTCGGCAGCAACATCCCACCAAAGTCCACGAGCACTGATCGTCTGCGCACCAATGCCTTCGAGTTTGCCAGCCGTTCTTTTGACGAGTTGCTGGATCCTGCAATCCTTCAACTGTGAAACGAAACGCTTGGCAATATAAGTTGGAGAGATGACATCGAGCTCGATCTCAACCCCTTTGGAGTCCACGACGACAGACGGACTCTTGAAAGCCCATCCAGCTTCGCTGGCGCTAGACGGCCTAGCCCCTGGCATCGCAGCTCTGGCCGGCAGGAACAACTTATTTGGCTGGGCTGCCGTGAAGCGATCGTCTTGGACAGGCTGGAGTTGAGTCGCGGAACAGTGGCCATCCACCGTTCGCAAGCACATCTTTTGAGAATCATGCCAGCTACTTTCAGTGGGTCTCGAGCTTTGGACAAACCCCAGACAACTCCGCGTGGACGCCCCTCATAGAGACCCCACTGGAAGAAGCCGCAGCCTGGCGAAGCCGTGAGACCCGGCACGGGCTGAACGCACAGATATCACCTCCGTAGGTAACAGTGGGGAGAACGTTAGTGGCCATGAGACGAGCCTTCATCCCTGGCTTGCCTTTAAACTGTCTGAGCCGCTTTCTTGTACTGTTAAACTTGCAGCAACGCTGAGCACGAGCCCGATGGGTCTCGGGGTGTGCTCAGCGCTTGCCCCCAGCAAAGTCAACCCCCAAGTTCGTCACCGACTACTCCCCAACACCAGACAGCTTGCCTATCAGCTGTTGGCCTACCTTAAGAGCTTGGCTAGAAGGCGCAACCATAGCTAGCTTGTGATCAGCAAGGGGCAGGCCCAGCTCCTTAACAAGCTTGTGGCCGAAATTATCTAAATGGGCGGCTAGATCCTTAGCATGCTAAATCAAGCACGGACCCCACACGTGGTGGATTAAATCGTCGATGTGAAGAGAGGCCATAGCATTATCAGGCACAACCCATTGCATATTCTTCAACAGTCGGCTTGAGCGCTAGTTTAGCTTCGGACGTAGCCGGTGCAGATCCAGCTACGATCCTCCTCCAAGGGTAGACTGGCGGCATCATGATGCCATCATACATTAGAAGCCGCGGCCATGTATAACTGGCAATTGAACGCAACAGATTCGCAATACGGCAATCACTATCTGCGGCGCTCTGGAAAAGAGCGAGTACGGAACATGCTCGTAAAACTGGAGGAGGTCCCACAAGACACCTAAGTAGTGCATTTTCCCATTCCGAGCGGACTCAGCAAGCGCTGACTGGCGCCAAACAGTGTCTGTGGGACTCCTATTCTGGGCACAAGAGTACACCACCTGACCCCCCGTCCGAGCCTCCCAGTCCCGAAGATCATACTTGCCCAATATTACTGCGCAACCTAAACGCCGACGGATAATGACCTGGGGGTCTTCTGCCTCCCCTCGGTTTCAACGCACAGAGCACCGCGAGCCTCTGGGCTAAATCAGGAGCCGAACTCGCGAGGTCCATGAAGTGGAAAATCTTGGCGAACAATTCTAGAGAAGCATCCGACAGCAGGTGATAGCACTTCGGGTGCCACCCATCTGGTTTGCAAGTGTTGCGGCTGAAACGGCGACAGATGTTGCGAAGCGCTGTCGCTTCCACAGCCTTCTTGACTGGCACTGGCAGCGGCCAGACCTCAGCTGGGCCCGGGTGATTGTTGGCCTGCCAAGCTTCCGACCACTTATGTTTTTCGGCCGACATCTGCGTGACGAGCGAGGCACGGCCCAACCCTTCGGCAGGTGGACCTGGCTCACACACTTTGACAGACGCGGGAGTCTCACGGATGCAACTGTGAGCACGGCGCGCCCCTTTTTCCATTGCTTCCTGGCACCATTCGGACACTGCTTGCGGCGCACAGCGGAGAGAGACGGCAAGAGATGGTCATGCACGAACTGCGCGAGCTCTAGTGCAGACTCTAAAAGTTCTTCAGTGGCTGGACTTGGGGCCTGAACAGAACACGCAAGGGCAAAAAGAACAGGGCACCAAAAGCTGCCTCCTCTTGTCCAAACCAAACGAAAGGGACCCCCACGGCCCTCTAACCAAAGCAACTGAACCGTAAGATTGGTGAGGTCAGCAAGGCTTCCAACCTTGTGCCCTTTCAAAAACAGGGCCTTCACTTCGCGCAGCTTCTGCACTACCCACGCCATCGCCGCTTTTGGGGGTCCAACCGGCGGTACGTGGATGCGCGAAGCACTTGCTTTAAAGGAACAGACTTCCATTGGAACGGGGTGCCTCCAGGGAGGCCTGGGCCTTCGCAGCCCGTGGCAGCACAGAGCTCAATCCACGCGCGCCGATTCCAGGCCTCGTAGGCCTGGCTCATGACCTCCACCGCCTGCTGCTTGGTGGTACCCGTGAGCGTGAACTTGTCTCCAGTGCCCCCGATCTGTTCCAGGAACGTGTCGACTGGCGCCGTCAGGTCATCGTAACCTGGAAGTTCCAGCGTTGGCCCCATCAGCTGTTCCGTTGGTACGTCCTGGTAGCTCTGGAGCACATTAACTGTCGCCTCCCCAACACCACTGACACACAGCTGAACTGGCAAGTGCGGGGACACAGGTATGCCCGTGAGAACCTCAACCTTCGAGATGAGCGTGTTCAAATCTCGATGGATCCAATAGAAGTCGATCGTCGACGTGTGATTGTCTAACTTATACAATGGTGTCTCCATACCGGCACGAGTGAGACCACCAACCTTATGGAGAGGAATAGCTTCGTTAAGTTTCTCTGGGCTGTTGTTGAAATCACCACCAATGATATATGGGAACGATACTGTCTGCACTTCCTGGCCCATGATCTGGATGAGCTGTATGTTTCTCGGAGTGAACCCTTCACCAACCCAAAGATAGCATGTCATGAGGGTGAGCTGCCCGAGGTCCTTGAGCCTGAGATGACAGCGCGCAGCTCTACCACGAGCAAGGTCGCCTTCGTCAGGGGCCCAGGTGCCCAAGTACTGTTTCACAAGGACCATCACCCCAGCAAAGTAGCGACCCAAGGGGTTCCTCCTCCCCCCTTTTCCTCCTCCTCCTCCTCCTCCTCCTCCTCCGCCTCCTCCTGAGCATCATCGTAATCCTCCTCCCCCTCCTC